TGGTCAATTGATTTTATAATCGATTTAGTTTTAGATCTAAATTCAGTAAAATGTCGGATTAAATACAGAAAATGAATTTCTTCAAAATAACACCATTCTATCAGATTCAATATGTAGAAATTTGCATATTATATATTATATTCCTTTTCATTGTTATCCTCTTCTTATTCCTGGCGGTACACGTCGCACAATGCCAAAATGAGAATGGAACGGAGAACGAATAGTGGAAGAAGGAAAAAAAATAGATTCGATGGTAATCGCACTCCGAGCGATTGTGGAGTGTACAAGAAAGAGGTCCACAGTGACAAAGAAAATTATGACCGAACATTTTCTTTCTGAGGACTTATTTTCTCTTTTTCTTTCTTTTTTCTTGTTCTTATGGAATACGATTTTCTTACAAAGATATTCTTCCTAATTACATGCATTTATTCCTAATTAACATAATACTGTACGTTCTGATTAAATAAAAAAAAAAAAAAAAAAAAAGAAAATATTTTCCTTATTAAACATTTTTATATTGTTCATTTTTATTTCTATTAACTATCATCACCTTAACTACAAGTAAATGTAATGGTAAGAAAGGCCTTTACATAATTTTTATAAGATAGTTGCTTATTAATAAAAATGTTTATAAATGTTGTATGAGCACAAATATAAAAAAATATATATATATATATATATATATATATATATATATTTAATTGGCATCATAATTGAAGTGTTAAGTATTAAAAACGTGTCATATCTAAATAAAATTAAACAAATTTACAAATAATTTGGTAGCTGTTCAACGAATTAATTTCAATAAATTATTTCAGTAAATATCAGATATTTACTATTAATTTTCCAATCAATTTCATATACCCTTTCCTTTAACTTCCCTGATCAGCCCCCTTGAATATGAACACACAAAAAGTCGCATTAACCGGTGGCGTTTAATTCGAATCAAATGTACACCCTGAGAAAGTAATTGAAGCGCGTTGCCCACGAGGGGTAGCGGATTTAGACGGCACGCGTCCTGCCATCTTCGCGGGGACCAATCGCACGGCTTCGTGGCTCACAGGAAATATAGAAACTGGACGGTGAATGAGTACAGATTGGTTTCCCCTCGTCGACGAAAACACCGTCACGATTCAATGGCAAACTTCCAATTAAAGGGACCATCTCTCGATCATTACTTCATTTTCTTCTTTTCTTTCTCTTTTTTCTTTTTTTTATATTTTTTGAAAAGAGGCACGAAGATCTTCTCACCACCCAATATTTTTCTTCTCAATTAATCTTTACACCTTATATTAAAAAAAAAAAAAAAAAAAAAAGAAAAACATTTTACGTTCAAATATGTTTAATTATTAATTAATATTAAATACTCAAAATTTCTTTTGGTATAAAATTATTCATATAAACAAAATGAAGATCGATCAATTCGAAAATTCATTTATATGTAGACTAGCCAATTATATTTCTTCACTATAGATAGATAGAGTTTGAATTTTCTCTAAATTTCCGTATCAAGGATGGACCTTACGAGGAATCGATTCGTTATAGAGTTAAAGGTGAACCTTCATTAGAGATTCTTCCTTTGAAAGTCGAAGTTGTGTGTATATGTATATATATATATATATATATATATATATATATATATATATTGTGTATATATATATATATATATTGTATGTATATGTATATATATATTGTGTGTGTATATATATATATATATATATACATATATATATATATATACTAATATAACTAATTATTGGCACGTTACCCCAACGTGAATTCTCTAGGGGACACTTCAGATTTACATGCTAATAGACTTTTCACGTGGTAGTATCGATTGATAGCGAAATGAGAAGGGTTGCTGAGCTTTTCGAGTGTTTCTTTCGAATCAAAAAAGTAAAAAAGAGAAGAAGAAAAAAGGAAAAAGAGGAAAAACAAATATGAAAATTATCGATCAAATAAAGATTGAAAAAATTTCTTTGAAATATTCACTATAAAAAATATTTAATTGGCTATAACTAAAGATAAAGAAAACAGTTTTTAGCGTTAACGGACAACATTGTCGAGCTTTGTACGGAAGAAAGATCGGTGAGCAACAAAAAGAAGAAAAAAAAGAAGGGAAAGAAAAAAGAAAAAAGAAAAGAAAAAAGAAATAAATTCAATTTGCGCGCGCGATGCCAACGAGTGAGCGTGAATTGAAAGGAGGGATAAAGGGGAAACCGAATAAAGGAAGTGGGCTATAGTGAACGACGCTGACGTATTCTTTCGGAACACACTGCTGCGTGCCGTTAATAAAGATGCCCTTGTGTTTACCGCGTAGAATGAAATTCAGGCAAGTGTCTCAGGCTATACTATGGCTTGGTCAAAGAGAGAAAACTGTCATTCTTTTCTTCTACACACGTACTTCACGATGGTAAGAAAAAATGATTATTTCTAATGAATCCAAAGGATAGAAAAGTGAGTGAAAAATTAATCCAAAAAAGTGTTGTAAATTAATATATATATATAATAAATAATTTTTAAAGATATTATTTTCAAGTTACACTAAAAACTATTCATACAATCATTTTATTATAAGTGATACATCACTTTAAGTCTTATAAATTTTAATTATTAATAGGAAAGTAGATATATAGAAGAATATTTATAAAAAAAATCAACATAATTCAAAAGAATAGAACATATTCTGCATGTTTACTTTAGTTACAAAATATTTATTACGAAAATTCCTACGTATACAAATAGTATACGTATTGATCTTAATAGATGCATTAAATTATAATATTTATATTTTCCTATGAAGCATTATTGTTTTTATCCTTAGTTTGTTACGTTTATAATTTATATATAAGAATTACAATAAAAGAGAAAGCAAGAGAAAGAGAGAGAAAGAGAAAGAGAGAGAGAGAGAGAGAGAGAGAGAGAGAGAGAGGGAAACAGAGACGCATAACTTTCTAAACATAATATATACAATTAAGAAATATATATTTATAAAAAATGATGAGTGTACAAATACTTTTTATATTTAATAGGTAGATATATAAGAATCGACAATACATGTCACAATCGATCACGTAAGAAATCTAAAGATTAGAAGGAACACTAAATACTTGTAGAAAGATTACACAACGTTAGTTTAATCTTTTTGGACGTTCATGACCTTGGTTTACCAAGGCCGAAGAAAAGAGCATAGTCCTTAGAAGCGTCCTATCGTTTGTTTAGAGAATAAAATAGTAGTAGTAGTGGTAATCGTCAAGACCTTCAGCAATTAAATTATTAATGTAAAGGAGAACGACGATAAGAGCAATGAGCGAACGTAGCTGATTTGGAGCAGAGAGAAACGAAAGCAAGTCCTGGCACGCGACCGTGCAAGCGGACGCATGCGTTTTAAAGCTCGCACGCTTTAGTCTCGAAGTATAAGTGCCCCATTAGGAACGTGCGTATATATGCATAAGTAGACCAAGTGGCTAGGGCCATAATGTTAAGTAAATAATGGCCAAACTCGTGGCCTCTTATTATACCACTCAAAGCAAAAGTCGCACTCGTTAGTGACGGCGTTTAATTCTCTCTCTCTCTCTCTCTCTCTCTCTCTCTCTCTCTCTCTCTCTCTTTATCTCTCTTTCTCTCTCCTGCTATATGCCCCAACCTTTCCGTTCCTTTATCGAATTCCTTCCAACCTGGCTCATTCTCACCCTTACTCGAGTGCGTACACGCACGTAAGTGAGAAGTAAGAAAGAAAAAGAGAAAGAGAAAATGTACCTATATATACTTATTTACTTTTGTTAATCTCATTTTCGTGTCACTTTCACTTGCAAAGATGACATACTTGATAATACGATATAAGATAGAGAAGAATGAAATATTTTTAATAAGTAATAGATATCATAAGCAAATTTGTAGTATTTACTAAGTTTTCAAGATGTTATTTTTGATGACAGTGATTACAATAGGAAAAATTTAGGACACTTTTAATTTTATTTAATTTCTTTTACAAATTTTGAATAAATAAAATAATCAAATACCATTTTTATAATGTTTTTTTTAAATCGATGATCCCTATGTTTTGAAAAATATGACCATCACTATATCAATCCCTTTGTATAAAAATCATGCTTCTTCAATTATTTATTTCTATTACTAAAAATAATCGAGATCATGCTTCTAGTTTCAAGTGACTCACCGGATATATAAATTATAATAAATTGTAATTTTAACAATACATCAACTTCAAAGCTGAAGAACTTAATAAGAAAATCCAATGTTAACAAGAATATCGATATCGATTTGATACAATGATTGAAATTAAAATGGTTCATTATAAATTACGAATTAAAAATGTCTTCGGTTGTTGATCGTCGTACGAAATATTCGTCGATTTAAGAATTTCGAGCATCTTTGAAATGCTACGAGTTCCACGAATCGTCGTTCATTTTATTTCAAAACGGAAAACGATCTATGTAAGCCCCTGGTTGCGCGAGACCCGTCAGGTACACTTATGTGTAATGACTCATAATCGGTACTCCGTTCAGGCGGAGCTAACCTAGGGTAAATCTACATGGCTGCTACGATATAAGAGTTCGTAGACTCTTACGATTATGTAAATCGCGGTAATTGCGTCTAATTCTAACAGATTAAAACAAAATAATATCTTCTATTGCTCTTTTTTATTCGTAATATAAAAAAGAATATCAATTATATAAATATAAGATCTTAAACGTTAGTGACGGCGTTAGTTTATATTAAAAATACGAAAAAAAGACTTAAGAAAATGTTTTATTTGTATAATGAAAGCTCTACTGTGTTGAAATTATTAAAAAGATCGTTAACGGAAGGATTTTTTTTTATGTTGATAAACGCACAAAATAAGTTGTTCGATTTCCAATACAATACAGAAAATTGTAATACTTGGAACTTAAGAAACATGAAATATCATCAATAAATAAGGAAATATTTTTCTTACGTAGAAAAGAATTATTCAAAAGATCAACAATTGCACTCACCACCGACGATCGAGTCAGGTTTCTCCTGTTTCGGTTGTCTATAATCGTCTTGGATCGATCTTTTTCGTTGCAGTATACCACATTCTGGTTGCGTCAATTGTGTCTGAATATGAGCTGCCGCTGCGGCTGCAGCAGCAGCCGCGGCCGCGGCTGGAATAGCCAGGCCCGTCGGATTCGCGACGTGGACCGGATGTGGAGATGGACTATCGGCTGGTGTCGTTGCTGTAGCCGTACCAGACAATACCGGTGTACCAGTGCAGCTGCTGGTATTATACTGCAGTTGCAAACCGAGTTCACGAGCTTCACTCTCTTCTTGAGCCTGCTGCCTTCTTAGAGCGACCTAGGACACGTATATCTTTGATTAGAATCAATTAATTGATTCTTGATACGTAAATAAATAAGACTTTGTAATTATATCTGCTAGAGTTGAAAGTAATCGTAAGTTAGGGAGATTTTGATTAGAGAATTCATCACTTAGGTAATCTTGATTTAAGTAAGAGAATTTTGAAAGCGTTGATATATAGTTTCGAAGTAATTGAAGCATTTGAGTTACGAATTCAAGTGAAATGGAATTATATTTTTTCGATCCACATCAATTTCAATATTTCTTTCTAGATAATATGTGTTAACTAACTGTTAATTTTTCAATGTTAAATTTGGTAAACAGAACCGAATTGTGAATTCGAACGAAAAGAGATTAAATTCTTTTCCATTCAAATTATTTTCAATGTTTCGTTCTAATCAATATATGTACATTCGTTTCTTATTAATTGTTCGAAGAGACGTATATCTAAATACAGTGTAAATAAATGTTCCCAAAATTAATATGAAAGAATGATCGATTATAGAAAATTTTTTTGTTGATCCATCGCGTCCCAAATAAGATGATTTCTTTGAAAATTCCAGATCAAATTTGCAAGGAATCTATTGAAAGTTTATCGATATGGTTACAATCGGGTCTTCGAAAGGAGGACGAGGCAAGCAATTTAGAAGTCAATAAGCGGGGACGTGCCTCGCGTGCGAAGATGAATTGGGAGCTTTCATGGGAGGCCGCAAGTCTCTGTCAAGGGATCACGTCTCCTCGTCGGTGGTGCGACCCTTCCGGCAATATTCGGAGCCCTTTCAAATAGATACATGCACCCGCACGGGTGTTAATTGTACCGAGTAGAGATACCTCATCTCCGGAAGGCAGCTTGGTATGTTGGAATGCTGCACGATTCAAGGACGATCTCTCTTTCTCTTTATCTCTTTTGCAAGGGAAATTCCCTCGAAATGATTCCACCGTACATACTATTGAGAAATACTACGGTTAAATATCTTGTAAAACGTACCCCACTTGCTACCTTCTTTCATTACCCTATTCATTTTCACTCTTTACTTGATAACCATGCCACGCTATGAATTTAATATTAAAATCTTATTCGATTATTTATTACCATTAAATTATTATAAAACTAATCGTAATAATTTCAGAGTAAATTAAATATAAAAGTAGAGCGGATGAAAATAATATTTTATTGATCTAGATTTTTAAAATGAAATCGTTGAAGTAAATAAGAGTCTCCTGCAGAAAATTTCTCGAATAGAAAAAAGTGTTCTCCAAAATGGCGAGACGTACAAAACTTTTATACATCCTTTACACAATAGAAACGCGATATCCATGACACGTCAAGAACAAAACTCCGATGATCTTAAAGTAGATCGATGACTCTTACCATTCTCCTTACCATTCAACTCCGATCTCAACGAAATCAAAAGCTTACCGCACTCTGGGTTGGAGCAATTTTCGCGTCTAGAGACGTTCAAACCTTCTTTTCTCTTTTGTATTAAATGCTCGAGAACAATGGGAACCAGGAAACGGGCTGAAGAAACATAAGAGGAGAAACGACGGAAAAGAGAGAGAAAGGGATGGTCAGAGGGCGATGAGAACATTGTTAAAAGAATCGAGACTAGGGTGACTGGCCCGCTTGCTGGGACTATTGCGTTTCTATGATCGCCTGCATTTAAACTTTTAAACTCGACGTATATATTACGATCCCTCGTAAAAAAAGGGAAAAAGGAGAAAAGAAAAAGACATATGTTCCTGATTCATACGCATGTATATATATATATATATATATATATATATATATATATATATATATATATATATGTATATATATATATATATACCGGACACATTTTTTGATTTACAACTACTATGGCGCCATGGTGTTCCATTAAGGATTAGTGATTTGAAAAATTATATACTTATGTCCCATAACTTGAACGATATACCTTTACGTACATATGGCAACGAATGACGCACTAAAGCTGAAACGGAATAGCAAAACGATTTGGAAACTCCAAACAAATTGAACAGACCACGGCCGCTTTGAAAAGAATGCGACTGGTTTGGGTTAAACAACGAAAAAAAAAACGAAAAAGAGAGAGAGAGAGAGAGAAAGAGAATACGCACACGAAAACAAAAACGAAAAAAAGAACGCCCGTGCGGAAGCAACGATTAAAAGTGGATCATTCATCGCGTTGGCCGCCCACTTTCGCGGCAACGAGTTTTTATTTTCATCCATTGGCTGAAAATGCCGGCGAATTGGTGCGCGTGCGAAAGAGAGAGAGAAAATGTGCGCGGACGCGCACCGTCGGCCGGAAAAATGAAAGTCGATAGAAACGCGATTTACTCTCTCTCTCTCTCTCTCTCTCTCTCTCTCTCTCTCTCTTTCTCTCTCTCTCTCTCTTTCTCTCTTTCTCTTTCTCTCACACTCACACATACACAGGCATGCATCGTAACGCTCATAAATATACACACGGATTGAATCAGTGTAATTGAAATTTTTAGCGTTTTCCCGATCGAACTCGACGATTTTCGAGCAGAGCGAGTGCCATTTTTCTTTTTATTTTTCTTTTTTTTTCGCTGTATTTTTTTTTTCTTTTCCTTTCTTTATTTTTTTTAAGATTTTCTTTTGAACAAGAATTAATCGTGAGGCTGATTGCGAAGAAAAATAAAGCTACCAGGAAAAATATAATCGACGAGAGAAGGATAGATAGATAAATAGATAGACAGATAGATAGATCGAGAGAGAGGGAGAGAGAGAGAGGGAGAGAGAAAGAGAGAGAGAGAGAGAGAAAGAGAGAAAGAGAGAAAGAGAAATAGAGAGAGAGAGAGAGAGAGAGAGAGAGAGAGAGAGTAACAGAAATGATTTTAGATATGAGAACGAATATGATAGATGAAAGATCGCCTTAACGCTCGAACAAATATTATCGAATAATGCATTTGACAGATTTCGAATTATGCGGCCAAATGCATGCCGTCGGACGAAGTCATGGACGGCGGATAAATTTTTTTTCCTGCTATTTCTCAAAAAAACATTGCTATACATCGTACGACAGAGACAAATGATTTTAATACTATGTAATTATCAAAAATCTTAATTAAAAATTGTATGTATAATAAATAAAAAATCCAGGATATAATACCAAGTTTTATTCCTTATATTTAATATTATCTTATTTATGATTATAGGAAGCATAAAAACATTTTATACAAAAATAATACCACTCGAAATCTGATTTTATTAATTTTTGATAATACTACAAGTATTAAATTTATTAAATGTTGCGTCAATGAAATGAGGAATATTGATGCAAGTATATTAAGTTAATATGTCAATTTTGATATCAACATCAACCAGTATTAATATCAAATATTAAAAAGGAACATTATCGAATATCAAACATAAATGCTCATGATCTAATATTTATGTAAAAATTTATGATTTTTAAAATTAATCTAAAACTCATGCGATCTATTTTAACAAAAACAAAATCTAATTTTATTCTAGTCATTGAAACTTTTGTAAAAGAAAAAAAGAAAAATAGAAGAAAAGTATTGGATGCAGTAATGTGGCATGGTCCAGACCGCAATAGAAGAGGAATGTTCACTTTGATACGCGACCGGGAGAAGAGTTAGAAGAAGAGAGATAGATAGATAGATAGATAAAGAGAGAGAGAGAGAGAGAGAGAGAGAGAGAGAGAGAGAAAGAGAGAGAGAGAGAGAGACACGAGGTGGTGAAATAGTAGGAGAAAGAAAGAGAGAAACACGTCTTAGCGTGGCACCCTCTACTGGCTCCGGGGAAACGAAGATTCACGCCTACCATGAAACGTTTCACCCCCTCAACGACCCCCTGTCGACGCGCCTACCACTTTGCGCATCGCCGACGTAGTCGATAACGCAATTATTCTTCCAGTATCGAGCATCGGGTGACGCCGATCGATGGCATCGGTAACGGTGCATGAAACGAGCGCTCTGAACGTCGACGCGATCCCTGATATTACTTCAGAGATAAAAATCCCACACAATACTACCCTATCTCTATCTTTCTTTCTTTCTCTCTCTTTCTCTCTCTTTCCGAATTGCGTCTTTATAAATCCATTTATATCAGTATATGCATTTTATGTAGTTACATTAAAAATGTAATAATATTAATTATTATTTAGGCTCTCAAATTATTTAGTTATTTATGATTTTTTAAAGACATCATTCTATTTTTTGTTCAGGTAAAAAATAAAAAAAGTATAGCTATAGATTCGTATTTCCATTAAGTATGTTTGACGTTGTATATTTAGTCTATTTTATCTTTTTTATTGAATACAAAAAATGATTGAAAAGTGAAACTGTCACTTATCTTTCATCTGACGATACTCTAAGATCGCTTCCTTTCTTCTTTGTCACTGGTGTGAATTTCGAAAGATCTCATATAGAAGTCCGTTGAAAATGGTGAGAAGATATTTATCGTATTCTCTCTACTACTATTTGGACTACAGTGTAATAACGTCTGAAACGTGATAGAGGGTAAATTCTTGGATCGGATCCCAAAGTAGAGTTTTCTACAGAAGAAGGAATGGAAGGAACATTTGTTCAGATAAACTGTAATACTAGTTTGACAATTATTACGTAAGATATCTATTAAAATATAATATATGTGTTTACAAAAAATAAGTAAATAATTTTGAAAAATTTGCGATCATACAACATTTGATATTTATTTGGAAAATCAATTTTTTAATTTTGAATTATCCGTTCAAATGTATAATTTGTAAAAGAGAAACTCCTGCTATATACACTCAGAACCATTTAAGTAACTTAAAGCAAAACCTAATGTATACGTACCGTTTAACCCCCATAGACAAAGTGCACACATGCGTTAAACAAGAGGGAGAGAAAGAGAGCGAAGGGTTACAAGCATAGTGGGGAGAAAGAGAGAGAGAAAGAAGAGACAGGGGTCATATATCTATTACAAACCGAAACTAGGTCCTTACAAGCTCGATATATCGTACATCAAAATATGAGAACGGTACGTCGAGATGAATATAAAAAAAAAAAAAGAAACGAAAGAAAGAAATATGAATATAATATACGACGATTGTCAAAAACGACTATGTAAATGAATTGTATGAGTGACATAATATATTCTATGAATGAAATGCAAGAAAGATTTGCTTTTATGATTATGAACATACAAACACACACACAAATACATATGGTGAACATCGAGCTAAGATTATTCAAAACTACTCTTGTTTCTATCGTCGGTTTGGCTGAACTCGTTTCTCGGATTCTCTTCAAAAAAAATTAATTTTCGCAAAGAGTTTTCCAATTTTCCAAAAGTTTGACAGTATTTTTGAAATTGATGAATCCGTACATGATCTTACATAAATAACATTGATCGAAGGCTCAACTACGTGTTAAATATACCATAATATTAGATATATAAGAAAAAAAAAAACAGAACCTTTTTTAATTTAATCACCTTTTTTAATTTAATAAAATCGTTTAGACAGGTGACATAAAAATGATCGGTGATTTGGTACCAGCTGCTCACTACTGATATAAAAAAAAGAAATCTTATAATTTCTTTCCGTTTTTTTTTTTCTTCTTTTTCTTGTTGTAACCGACATCAGAGCTCACGGACAAATTACACCCTATTCTAAAGCTATAGGACTTAGTTGTCCTAGGTGAGGGTGAAACAGATACAATGAAGTGTAGCAAAGAAAGGATATTAAGGTTTCGAATGAAACGGATCACGGCTGTTGAGAATAAGCCTATCACCTAATGTAAGTATACGGTGTCACAAGTAGGTCAATAAACATTGTACGAGGGATTGCTCCCGACTCTACTCTATTCTCTCTCTCTCTCTCTCTCTCTCTCTCTTTCTCTCTCTCTCTCTCTCTTTCTCTCTCTCTCTCTCTCTTTCTTTCTCTCTCTTTTTCTTTCAAGTACGTATAGTATTACGATCCTGTAACGTTACGCGAGGCAGTGTGTCAAACTTTACTGGAAATTTTACCTGCCGTTCACTCAGTGATCATCTTTGTAATGTTTGAATAATGCTAAGAAGTTATAGAATGTCGAATAGTTGATGGATATCATAGTAAGCCGATTATTAAAAAATTTTATCATTTTTTTTTATCATATCAGTGAATTGCAAGTTCCATATGATTTTGAATACATTTTGACAATTGTATGAATTATAAAAAAAATATAATACTATACAAATGTATATAATTCATTATGTGTATAATGCACAATGTGTATAATAGCACAAAAATAGCACAAAAAAGTAATGTGTATAATGTGTAATATATAACAGCACTATAAAAAAGTGCTAATATTTTGCAATCTACTAAAATTATGATTAAAACAAAACAAAAAAATAAAAGGAAAGAAAGGTAGAGTTTAATGAAAGATTAATGAGTAACATGGTATTTATAATACGCTTGAAAGTGACAGAACAAGAATAAATTGGTACAAAGCGTCTTCCAAGAGTACGCAACGGGCCACCTGAAAATTCGTGAGATCACCCTTTCATAGGTACACCCACTAGCGTAGGAAAGTCAAAAAGGGTATCCGACGCAAAGCTTACATTGTGGTATGCCGATATTTCATACTCGGTTGACTACGTAAGGGCCAAGGGAGCGCCGGTAGAGTCTTTATGCACGGTAGAGAAGTGGAAAATGCACGCTCGACGGTGCAGCAACACCGAACGCTGTTTTATTAATTACTTTGCAAAAGTAGAGAGAAAGAGAAAGAGAAAGAGAGAGAACGAGAGAGACGTAAACAAAAGATCAGGTAAAAATAAAAACCAAAGCTCTACGATACACGCCTCGTTATGTTAAAAACTTTTTTCCTTTTTTTGTGTGTTATTCTCTTGTTTCTCGATTCTTCTTATTAAACTTTTTCTACGAAGGAAAATGATTAACACAAAACAACGGCGATTCCATTTTTGTAATACCAAAATGTTGTCTTTGAAAACTATAAATAATTATTATTTATTCTGACACGTTATTAAGTGAATATATTTTAAAAAGATCTGAGATGTTAAAATGCTCTCTATTTTCTTGATGCCAACAATGATAGCAAAATAAAAAACTCGTAAACGAGATACCGGATATCTTTTGAAAGAATAATCAATTCTTGTAGGTTTCATTATCTCAGAAAAAAGTTTGTAAGATCAGTTACATTTAGTCAGCCGACTTCGTATACGATGGTAAAAAGAAAGAACAACTTGGCTGCCCTCCAAGTGCTACCCTCGAGCATTCTCGCATACATCACTTTTATAAAACGGAAGGAACTGTTTGCTACGGTAACATCTTCGAGGCGTTTTCATTTTTTTTTCGTGTATTTAAAGTAAATTGACAAAAACCTACAATCAAATTTCTTGATCATAATACGCAAACACAGAGAAGAAAAAGGCACTATATCAATATTATCGAAAAATTAAAAAATAAACGAAGCAAAAGATGAAATTTTTAATTTCAAGATAATTTGGTACTCTATAAAAAAAAAATATCAATTTTTACCATTCAATCGATCAATATTATCGATCAATCGAATTTACGATTCAATCGATCAATTTACCATTCAATCATCAATTTTGTTTCAGAACACGATCACTTGCATACAAACACACGTTATAGAATAAAACTCTATAGAATCGTTTTTTAATAAATGTTATAAAAATTGAACGCGAAATAAAATTGGTATAAGAAGAAAATAAATACGTAACATAAATCTTTTCTTACCTGGGCTGCCATAACGCGTTGCCTTTCAGCGATAAGAGTACATTTCGCACACACGCAGTCCCTCCATCGGCAGTAACGCTTGTGTCCCTTAAGGGCGGAAACGACCCCGTGATTACGACATCTAGCACACTTCGGTGTCCTCTGATATCTCTCAGCACTGGCTCGTAGAAAAAAGGCTGCTGGTAATACGTGATGCTGTTGCTGATGATGTTGTTGTTGCTGATGCTGCATTAGTTGACCGACATCGACGCCGAGTCCGACACCTCGCGGCAACGACATCCTCCTGAACTCTTCTCCTTTTTATTCTTCTTATATATTCTTATGCAGAATATCCTCCTTACTTTGTATCTCCGGTAAGCATTGATGAACGAATTCTAATCCCTCTCTTTCTCTCTCTCTCTCTCTTTCTTTTTTTGTCTCACTGTATTTTCCTGTTATCCATGAGCGATCGAAGGTCACCCGACGGCAACGCGACACTTCGTTTGACGACAATCGAGCAGACAACACGAATAGACAGAGAAAAACAATAATATATGTATATGTATATATGTATCTATATATATCACGTACTTGAGTCCAGCTCGTAGAAGAAATTAAAGCGACTATTAGAAGATAACTATGAGCTAGGAGGGTCGCGCACACTTTTCGAAAATATCTCGGAAGTTATCGGAGAGAGAGAAAGGAAAGGACCCGCGCGTTCGAGTGTCGAGGAGCAAAATGCAGGATCGGCGGGTCACCTCGTTCCGTCTCTCTCTCTCTCTCTCTTTCTCTATCTCTATCTTCCGGAACCTACTCCCTCTCTCTCTCCCTCTCTTTCTCTCTTACACTCAGAGTCTCAACTCTAGAAGCTCTCTCTCGCGCTCCGCCACTGTCAACAATTGCAGCATCTCTCGGCTGAGTCGATTCAGGTATCGTGCGCCGGTAAAGGGAGGGGGTGAAAAGTGAGACAGAGACAGAGACAGAGAAAGAGAGAGAGAGAGAGAGAGAGAGAGAGGTAGGAGTAGAGGGTGGAAGAGGAGGAAGGGGTGTTGAGACTGGTATTTCTATTCGGAGGGTAAGTTAGTGATAGTCCGATGGTGTGGTAGTGTCGACGTTGACCGCGTAGAAAGTGGAATCTTTCGAGTAGGAGAGGGAAATGAAATAGAAAAAGAGAGATAGATAGAGAGAGAAAAACAGTACCAAGAATGATGAGAGGGGAAGGGGGTCGGTGAGAGTCACCCCGGTAAAATTTATCGGTGTGGGATAGGGCCGAGAAACCGCCAGCCCCTCCGACAACCCCTCTACGTAGGAGAGAGGCGCGCGAAATAAAACACTGTGCCACAGTGTTCCACCCCGAGCTCTCAGCCAAACACGGGGACGCTTGCTGGGAACGCCACGCCCGTGGCAAGCTGCGATTGGTGCTCCGAGTGGTTCCCTGGAGATGTTAAGAGTTTATATCTGCCAGAGTTAAAAGGGGACATACCTAGCCGCGTATCCACCTCCGACCCCACTCACTTTCTCCCTCTCTAACTCACTTATAGGTGAGTATGCGTGTATTCTGTGTATATCATCAGTGTGGGTATTATATCTGCGGGAGAAAGATAGAGAAAGAGAATGCGTGTACCACTACTACCATCATCACCACTGGCAACGTCTTTTCTCTCTCTCTCTCTCTCTCTCTCTCTCTCTCTCTCTCTCTCTCTCTTCACCACCCCCGGAACGACGCAACGAACCAACACATTACTCTTTTATTTAAAACCCGTTTTAATGTAAAACACACAATGCGGACCGATGCTCAGACGTTTCTATATGCTCCGCCTTTTGTTTCGGCCAACTGTTTTTAACTATACACGCCTCCGTCGTTCCTTCCAACCTCCGCCTCACTCTCTCTCACTCTTCCTTTCTTTATTTCTTTCTTTATTTCTTTCTTTATTTCTTTCTTTCTTTCTCGACGTTACTAGTTCCTCTCTCCCTCACCTTGCCTCTCTAACCAACGTTGCGCCCCGTCAACAGCAGCACTACCATCGTAATCGTAGTCGACGACGCCGACGTTCGTCGTCCTGTATTGGACGAACGTATTTTTTTCCTTTCTTCTCTCAGCGGGTACTATAAATGTTCTCCTATAAACTACGACCATTACCAACCACCACCACCATCATCACCACCACCTCCACCGCTATCATCACCACCACTAGCATAAGCGCCGTCATCGCGGCCGACGACGACGATGTCGACGTGCCTTTGAATTATACTTCAGAAGAGGAGATTTTCAATGGTCGCTAACCCCCCATTGTCGTTACCAATGACGAACGATTTTATAGTGATCTAATGTACAGATGTTATTTACCCGCAATAAGAATGAAATAAAAGCATTGTGCGCATTATGATCCCGTATCTTTGCTTACCTATATCCTTTTTACCTGAACTACCACTGCTCACCCTCTCGATTACTCGCACACACATGTTTTACCTCCGTATATATATATATATGTATGTTTTCTCTAAACGTGGCCAACCACGAACGACTACCGTTCACAGAGTAAGGATGCACATAAGAGATTCGTGGCTTTACGAGAATCAGATTATTTTTGAATTTAATAGGCGTGAGGGAGATCCAAACCGGAAAACCAATACGCGTTATGTATACATGTACATATGTACATTTGTATGTATATATATATAATATATAGGTATAGAGTACTCTACTCATGATCCTTTTCCGTCGTATAATTTCGAGAAAGCAGAAAGGGTAAGCATGTTTGCCTTGATGTTACGGAATGATAATTTATTATCCGCTCCGAGAGACGAGATAAGGATCAAAGGGTTGACCGCGAAAAAAGGAGAAGCGTTATGGAAGATTCATCATCGAGAATTATAATAATAGCGGCGTTGAAAAAAGAAGGAAAACGCTTCGATGACTTTCAAAAGAAAAGATTTCCCATTTGAAAGAGGTCAGAATGCTTTTCTTGCGTATTCCTTTTTCATTAGTAAGAAACGACGCATTTAAGTATGTTTGCTTACAAAAATAAGCTTTTGAATATTTTTATTTATTTTATGGTTTTAATAGCATTGTTTAACCTTCTATAATGTTATGTAACTTTGAAATCACGCACTTTCATATAGTTATATAATATATATTTACATTAATATATATATGTATATATATACATATACTATATATTATAATATGTAAGTAATTTTTATTTTATATCCAAAAATTTTTAATATTTTTTAAATAATAAGTTATTATGTAATTATGTCAGTATAAGTAATACTATATTTTTACATTATATAATTTTTGTGTAAATAAGAAGAAAAACTGGTTTATAGTGCTTAATGAATTTATGATTGGTACTGTGTAATTGGTAGAATTATTGAATCAATGAAATTGGTGAAAAAGAAACAAAGAAAACAAACGGGAAAAAAGAACCCGAGAACGTGCCAATTGTAAGAATTTGTTCGATAACGAAGAAAGAATAAACTAAATTTGTATTACGGAGATATACATATATTTTGTACTTACAGGTAACTTTTTTATGCTCTCTCTGGTATTAACAAACTCGAACGCCATTTAATAATAATAGCAATAAAAAAGACATATAATATGTAAAAAAATCTACTTTGTATTTTTTCATACGAACACATTATAATTAATATATAGATAAATAAATATTTATCTTTATTAATAATATTTAGTTATGTAATATAGGTACACGTTAAAAAAGAATAGAGAGATATTTTGAAAGAGAATAGAGCGAAAGATATAGTAGGAAGGATGAATAATGAAAGGATTAATCCAACTTAAAATTTTTGATATGTACACACTGACACTATTTCTTTTTTTTTTTTTTTTTTTAATTTAAATATTTCAACGAAATATTTTACTAAGCGTATCTTTTAATATGCGAAGTTTTCGATATCAGCTTATCATGAATAAATTCTCTAAAAATGAAATTTATCGCGACTGGAATAAGTTTCAAACGAGAGATATACTGCTACGCCTTAAAATACATAATAGAATTTTTTCCCGCTGTCCACGAGCTTGTATTCACATGTCCATGGATTAAATATCCCGTTTCGATTCGAGACAAAAGGGAGAATCACGTGAATGTAAATGGTAACACAATCAACATACCATTGATATTACTTTCCTTTTTCCAACAGCAAAAAATTGGAACAATGAGAAATGAATGGCAAATGCACGTGAAAACAAATCCATCGTTATTACCTATCTTTATACCTTATTCACAATATCAATTTTTTCTTAGAGACACTCGAAACAAATAGCATATATTATAATATCTCGAAAATAGATCCTAAAGTAATAGATTGATTTAATTTACAACAACGCAATTTTTGATAATGACGTGTGAATTGAAAATTAAGTTTTATCGCTATCTAAAAATATCGATTAGGAAAGATGTATATACTTATAATCTACCTCAAGTATATTACTTAAACGACGATTGCTCGAATTAGAAGAAATTATATCATGGTGGTACTTTGTACAACGATTGGAATAAGTTTTTGCATTCTTACGTTCTTGATACAATACGCGTATTAATGTTTGATAAAAATATCTAAAGAATAAAGTAAAATATTCCTTTGATCACATATTAATTCGTTTTTAGTTAGTCTATTAAATCGCTTTTCTAAAGAAAATAATTTCTATTCATTTCGTTTAACATATTACATAGGTACTACGAAAAAAAATATCGAATGGGATCTCTCAGCTTTCTCTCTGGCAAGTTCTTTCGTGCCTTCTTTCGCGAATAAAACGATTTTTACAACGATCACATAGGTGCCATCTATAGACGCGATTATGAAGCTTCCTTGCAAGTGGCATTGAACTCATTCAAAACGCATAATGCAAGTACGAACTTCGTATCTCAAAAAAAAAAAAGGATTAAGATTTTCTGCGCTTTTAAGATAACGGTGATATACGAAATTACAAAAAAAAAAAAATATTCACTTATTATAAATAATTAATGAATAACATTGATAAAATTTAATATTTCATAGATAATTAAATTAGAAAGAAAGAGAGAGACAGAGACAGAGAGACAGAAACAGAGAGACAGAGAGAGAGAGAGAGAGAGAGAGAGAGAGAGACAAAGACAGAGAGAGAGAGAGAGAGAGAGACAGTGACAGAGAGAGAGAGAGAGACAGTGACAGAGAGAGATAGAGAGAGAGACAGAGAGAGAGAGAGAGAGAGGAAGAGAAAAAGAAGAGAAAAATAAAATGAACTATAATATTATGTCGAATAAAAGAAAATCAACGTTTTCTCTGTCTCAGAAAATTGTCTTGATCTTAAATATTTCATAATACGATTTGATTTTCTCGAGAATCTGTTTCGTAAGTTATACGTACGTATATACATACATAAATGCACACATATACTAATACAAAACGCACATATACATATTCTACGTATCATTCGCTGCTCTTCCGCTGGCGATGCAGCTGCAGTGTCATCGGGATTCACCGTTGCAGTGAAATATCGTATGACTTTTTGACGTGCTTTTAACAGATTGAATTGAAAATGGCTCTCTGGCTCCGACATATTTGCGGGCATATCCATATCCCGGGAACGACTATACGAATAGGCAGGCGACGAGGGAGATGACATGCGTATATATATATATATATATATATATATATATATATATATATAAATGAGTGTGTGTGTGTATGGAAGCGCTTATGTGTATGT